AAATAGTTTTTTACACGTAAAAAATATTTTTTTGCGTAACATAAGTTTTTTTACCAGAAACAATAAGTTTATGACGCGTAAAAATATTAGTTTTTTACGTGTAAAAAATAATTTTTTACATGTAAAAATATTTTTTTTTGCGTAACAAAAGGTTTTCTACCAGAAACAATAAGTTTTTGACGCGTAAAAAAATAGTTTTTTGCGTGTAACAAATAGATTTTTACACGTAACAAATAGTTTTCTACCAGTAACAAATTGTTTTATACGCGTAACAAATAGTTTTTTACATGTAACAATTTTATTTGCGTAAAATAATAAAAATAGTTTTTTACGTGTAACAAATGTTTTTTACACAATAATTTCATTCTCTTTTACAAAATTTGTATTAAAATATCAATATTTTTGATAAACACGTCCACTGCTCACATATACACGTCGCGTCACTACGTATTTCTAAGCCGTTAACACGTTTCGTTACAACGAGCTCGTGTGTCAGGGCCGTCTCACCAGCTCGGATGTCACGGCTTTGAATTTTTACTCCCAACGCGCGTAAAGAAGTTTCACTCCAAAATGTTTCATAAATCATGTTATAAAATTGCATTAGCAACTAGAAATATTTACTATTCTATTATATAATTATAATTATTTATTATATTATATTATAATTATAACAAGTACTAATCACAACACTACAACATAAAAAAAAAACTATACACATATAAACTAAAATTCGTAAAATAAATGGCAAATAATAATTATTATTTTTACACATACCACTGGCACTAGCAATAGATTGTGTTTGTCTCCGAATATGCCCCGGCCCGTCCACAATTCAATCCCAGCATCTTTTATCTTCGTCTCTTCAACGCTAACGGCGCCGATCTTGCCTATCTCTTTCTCACAAAATTGATCGTTGGACGGGCCGGGAATCCACGAGCTTGCGACGTTACTAATTGACATCTTGATAGAAACTACAGACCTGTCGCGTCTTTTGCGTGTTTTTAATGGACACAAACGCGCTTAAAAGGGTAAAATCGCAAAAAACGCTTGAGGCGCAAAAAACTCAAAACGCTAAAAACGCTTTCTGTGTGGCCGTGGGCTTAAACGTTGTGATGCGTGTCTCTGCGGCAGGGTACGGCGCGGCGGCGGAATTTTCCACCCGATCGGGTCGCTGCAAGTCGCTGAATACGGGCCCCGCGGTCATTTTGCCATTATTTTGTTACATCATAACATCATGCAGTTTGCAGTAAGGGTGAATCGCAAGTGTTGTCTTAAAATGCGTAGTTTGTTCTTTATAATAATTGTTGAAATTCTGGTGGTGGTTTTTTAAAGTAGTTGTAGAAAAAAATAAATTGTACACCAGTTACGGGGCAGCAGAACGTGAACGGGATGAAAAGGATGTTGGGAAAATGATTTCAATAATTGAAAGTACCTGGATAAATCCCTTTGCCAGCAGCATTACATCTAATGACCTAATTCATATTGCCACAGGAAAGATTGCTTCTCGGGAGATTCAAACATCCTTAACTACATTTAAAGAAAAAGCAGAGATAAACAATCAAGCTTTTATCCAAGAACGGCTTACAACTCACGGGCAAGCAAGTTTCTGGAAAGCTGTGTCGCGTAATCCAATTATTTCCTTTAATGCCAAAACATTGGTTACAAGACAACAGAGTCAAATGCTGTTATAAATCCAGAGTATATGTTTAGAAAAATTATAAGTGCTGCTCAATTTAAAGAACTTGATTTCAAAATTGGCAAAAAAATTAGAATTATTTATGATTTATGATGTGATTTTATAACTGATCCGCCGCAAGAAATTATCGAATATTTTATAGATGGAATAGTAGTTTTAATAAATTAATCAAAAATCATTTAAAACATTCGACGAATTAGCTCAGGTTGTAACAAATACGATTTTAAGCATATTTAAAAAGCACATTATGTATTATAGGATCCAGAACAGTATCTAATTATAAGAAGTCAACAGCAAATAAAATGGCGTTAATTAAGTGCGTTTCTAATAAAATATGTGAAGCATGTCATTTGGTCCCAGAAGACAAAGAAATAGTAATTGCAGGAGGTTTTGAAGATGCCGGTAAATGTTTTAAAGTAGGTTGGTATAATGCGGTTGATACATAATATGCTACTATATACTACTTTTAAAAATCTGTGTTTTTTTAGATTTTAAACCATGAAGTTGCAGAGCAAAAAAAATTGTACAGCAACCACGAAGAAGCTGATACAAGGATTATTTTCCATATGGTATCTTCTAATAAAAATGGTAGACTAGTCATAAAGTGCGATGATACTGACGTTTCAGTACTTTTAATTTATTATTATGCTACTCATGAAAATTTTAGTAATAGTGAAATATTCATGGAAACTGGTCATACAAATATGACAACTAACAAAAAACGATTTATTCCCATTCACGTCATTTCGAAAAACATTGGTAAATTGGCATGTAAAGGATTACCAAGTTTTCACAGCCTCACAGGATGTGCTACGACAAGTTCACTATTTAAAATAGGGAAAAAACAGGCTTGGGAAATGTACTATAAAAATTGCGACTCCCTTAACCTGCACAAATTTGCTAAAATGGGCCCAGAAGAAGGAATACAATTTGCTAGAAAATTTGTAAGTTTTTTGTATAAAAACAAAAATGCAAACGATTTAAACGAAATTCGGTTAAACCTTACAAATCAGAGCAAAAAACCAGCCCAAGAATTGCCCCCTACAGAAGATAATTTCAAACTACATGTCCAACTATTGGATTGAATCAAAATGTATTGCTTTGTACGAATAAAAAATGTAATTTTAGGTCATATTATCAAACATTTATATGGGTCAATAGTCATCTTGGAGAAGCAGCCAAAAAAGATCCCTTGTTGTATGGATGGACTTTAAATGAGGACACTTGTATAGTTCCAAAAATGATCAATCAAGCTCCAGTTCCAGAAGATATACGGCAAATTATTTCTTTATTTTGCGACAAAAGTTGCAACACCCAAAAATGTCAATGTAAAAAAGAAGGAGTATTTTGTAGCACACATTGCAAATAGAAAATAAATTGCAATAATGTTAGTCGAGAAGTTGCAGAAAATCAAATAGAGGCTGATGATCCTGATGACGATGCATTTTTAGATGATTCCTTTTAATATTTTTGTTTCATAATTTTCTTTACCATGTTTATACCATAATTAAACTTTTCTTGGTACAGTGTATGAGTATAAGCATTTTTTGAAAAAAATAAGAATTTATAATAATTATTGGCCCTAACATGGTGCAAATAACTAATTAAAAAACTTGTATTTAAAACCGTACCGCGGCTAGAAAATGTAAAATAGGTGAATCGCGATGGATAAATTTAGTCCATTAAATTGCCCAGTTTTTGAAAAAATAAACATTTAAATAGCTCCTTGCATAAAGGAGTTATGGCGAGGTGAGTTAAACATTTTTTTAGCACTTGGCTTTTTTTAAATATTGCTTTTTTTCTAATATATTTTACAATTCTTCTTAAACAAAATATATACCAAAGACCAAAGGAAAGGAAAATAAATTTGGAATAAAACTAAAAAAAAGGTTGTTTTAGCTTCATTACAAAAAAAGTTATGATTTTTTCAAAGTAAAAATTCCAGTTTTTTGCCATATCTTTGGTATCGACCAATGGAGAAAGTCGTCAATTTCCATTTTATATGTATGTAATACATGCTTTTTCAAATTCTGAAGGTCCCATTTGGTTATGCCTCGGTTTTTTTGTGCATCCCAGAGCGGGCTTTCCGACGGAACTTTTTTTACTTTTGTAGAGTAAAATACACAACGGTAATAAAAATTATACACGTTTAAAATATATTTTAATTATTACAGAATTAAAACTAGATATAAACCTATAATTAGGTGACAAAAATTAGCTGGATGAAATAAAATGCTCAAAATGCTTCCTGTCCTGTTAACCGCATAAAATGATTGTCTTTTCAAAAGGAATCTTTTCATTTTAAAAGGCATATGCGGAGTTCTACTTCGAAAAGCAACTACAATAATTTCTCTCATGTTGTCGACAATAGTTGGTCGAACTTTGTAAACACTGTCTTTAACATATCCCCATAAAAAACAGACTAGATAAAATCAGGAGCATTTAAGTATTCTATTAATTGGAGAGTGGATACTGCATTCAACAACAACTAATAGATGCATATCAATTCTCTCTGATGTAGGATAAGCAGTGGCGTAGCGTGAGTTAGGGGCGCTCGGGGCGGATAAGCTCTAGGAAGGAGGAGGGAGGTTTGCCGCCCCTACAGAATCCGTCCGCCGCGCCGCCTTTATAACATTTTATCAAATAATAGATTTACTCAGATCAAATCATGTAAATGGAAATATCTAGGAAAATATTTGATTGAGGGGTAGGCAACTTTAATAGTATTTTGAAGAGACATGAATTATCCATTGAATATCGGAATAATATACTGGGTGTTCCATTTAAAATAAAAGAGTAACATGCTTTTAAAGGTGACCTATGTTCAATATTAATTTTGTCTCACCCTGTATAACTTTTCGGATCAAGTTTTAATTTGATTTAAAGTACAATAGTTAATACATATTAGGCTATACCGGGTAAATTTCAATTTAGGTAGCTTTTATTGTAATTTAAAAATTGTTCTTTATTTATAGAAAATGTTAAATATGTCAAAAACCTTACATTTTAGTCATATACTTCTCTTATAAAACTCACCTTTATTTTTCTATTACAAAAAACACAACTTTGATATGTAACTTTTTTTGGGGACACCCTGTAGAACTCCATATTTTTTAAAAGTGTTCTGAATTAACCTACATAAGCTCACAAAATTTCATTTCAATACAAACTGTCGTTCTCCTTGGAGCCTTCGCGGCCTATTAGAGGCGCCACCCTGTATATGGATGGATATTTACTTAGTCCGAGAAAATAAACAAAACTTTTAATAAAATAGTCAGGGTATATTTCTTAGGCTACAGTAAAATATAATATTTATTTAAGAATACTCATTAGCACTCTATTTTAAAAAATAACAATAATGAATAAATAAAAGTAATGAATAGTTGAGTGAATACGTATTTAGAAACATTTTCGGTGCACAATGCCAGGTCCCGATTCATCATATTCTTGTTTCGATATCCACATTTGCTGGAACGTGGTAAGACTTGCTAGTATACTACCTCCTATCCATACAGAGTATTTTCGTTCAGGTGGTGCTATAATTTTTATTTTCATGGACGCAGGTGCCAACGCAGCAATTTCCTTCTGGATTCGGTCAGCAATTCCTTAAAAAAGAAGAGCAATGAAAAACTGTATATTACGTACATATGTTTGTACTAACTTTTACCGAAAGAATTGAATTATGTTCAAATCAAATTTTAGTTGCAAAATTAGATTCATCTTACTTCATGAAGAAAACACATAAAACAGAATTGCTTTTAGTCGGTAGTTAAATAGGAAAGGAAATTTTAATAATTAATGTTTTTGGCAATAAAGTACATCTAGGTAATCTTGTTGAAACGGATTTGCATGACATTGAAATATTTCTCAGAAATATACGAGAGAAAAATGAATTGTAAAGGGAGAGTTATTAAAGATGTACGAATAGATATACACACAACCGCAATGTCTAAGGATAATTTAGTACATGGCTGAAATATTTAACGAATGTAGTGACGGGTCAATTATTTCATTTGCATATAAAAATACGACTACTTTATCGTCATTTTAGACTGTTTACAATCGACTTTACTTTTTTTTACTTAGTGTTTATTACCAATAAATAAACAAAACATTCCTTCATCGATAGTTTTATTTTAATTTTCCCTACAAAAATGCATTGTTTGCTTTTAATTTTATTCGTGCAAATCAGTATTAGTTCTGGTTACCCATGGAACGAAGACATTTGACTAGAGAAGAAATGATAAGGGCCGTGGGCCTTTTGGACGGTGGCATGACGCAAACTCAGGTTGCCGTCGAAATGGGCACTACTCAAAGCGTAATTTCAAGACTTTATGCACGATATTGAGACAAGGGAGATGTGAGGGAAAGGCACCGGGGTCGCGCTCGTATTACAACCCCTGTACAGGACCGTTTTTTACAACTTAATGCTAATGTTTTTACGCTTAATGAAGGCGCCCTACTGTGACGCCACCAGAACTGCAAATCATGCTCCAGCAAGTACATAATGCTGAAGTTTCGGCCGATACTGTGCGTCGTCGCTTGCATGAAAACAACCTACGTAGTCGTCGACCTTTGAGGGTTCAACCATTATCATGGAGCAATCGAGGACTCCGACTTTTGTGGGCACAGGAACATTCTTTGTGGCAAAATGAAAATTGGGCAAGAGTGCTTTTTAGTGATGAATCCCCGTTTGGAATTTATCCTGATTCCTGAGTTCGCTTATCAAGAGTTCGCGTGTGGAGAGAGCCTAACAATGCAAACCGCCTTCGCAATGTCCAGGAAGTGCACTCTTTTCGAGGGGGGACAGTTATGGTCTGGGGAGGAATCAGTATCGGAGGAAGGACCGACCTAAAAAACAAGTTAATTTTTAAATTACAAGTTAATTTTGTATATCTATAATAAAAAAAATAATCAACGGTTTAAAATAAAATTATAAGCGGTTAAAAAAAATAATCAACGGTTTAAAATAAAAATATAACGGTTTAAAATAAATTATATTTTTAATATATCCCTAGACATTGCGGTTGTGTGTGTATTGAGGATGTTTAAGGAAACACTGAGAATATACAGGGTATTTCAAAGAATGTGTGCAGTCTCTCGTGGAGAAATTCCCCACATAAAAATAAGATATATTTTTATATCAACATAGGTCCGATTCTGCTTTGTTTCGTAGCTACAGGAGGTTAAAGACTCCCGTTTAAATAATCGTCTTACAAGTGTTTTTAGCGAATCGAATAAAATTTTTAAGGAAAAAGTTACTATAAATGCTACATATTTTAATGCTAAAATATGTCGAAAAAAGAACGCCGTGCATATGGGTTATCACTGAAATATGTTTGTCTTGCAAGCAAAAATACAACCAGTTATTGTAATAAAATTTACAATAAAACTGATAATAACTACTAACTACTTAGAATAAATTAAAAACTCCTACCTGGAAACATTGTACTTCCGCCAGACAAAACGGTATTAGCGTACAAATCTTTTCTAATGTCCATATCAGACCTCATAATTGAATTAAATGTTGTTTCCGCAATACCAGCTGTTTCCATCCCTACAATTATAATTACTTAGTTTCATCCTTATTTAGCATATTAATGAATTTTATATATGATAGCTATCTCTGAAATAAAAAAAACATTTGGATTCGACATAAATAAAATGTTTATCAATCTTAAGAAAAACAAAAATTGGATTTGCGTTTTTGGTCGAAATATTAGATTTGTTTGAATATGTTTGAAATATTGATTAGCCAGTTTAAATCAACCATATATACCGGGTGCGTCTCAAAAGTGGCCAAATTTTTTAATAAAAAGACAAAATTTAGTATATTAGTATATGACATAAATTAGGATTGATTGACGTATTCAATTGTTTTCGGCCACTTACCATAAACGATCACCACGAAACACCAATAAACCATATTCTAAAATGTCAAATGTGGACATATGATATGTCATTCTATTCAGAGTGTCATTTTCTCTCGAGTAATGTAAGAAAATACCTAGGGTGCCATTTAAAAATCAGAAGTTGTAAGTAATAATTTCCGGTGAAACAGGAAGTGGCCGAAAATAATTGAATTACCTACGTCAATCAATCCTAATTTATGTCATAAACTAACTTACCTAATCTCGTTTTTCTTATCTGAAAAAATAAAAAAGTTATAGGGGGTGAGTCACTATTGAGACGCACCCGGTGTATTGCAGATAAGTTATAATACCTAAGAGTGAAGGCTGGAACATTGCTTCTGGACATCGGAACCTTTCATTTCCCAACGTTATTATTTGACCATCGGGTAATTCGTAAGATTTTTCAAAACAACTTGAACTAGAGGCTAAAGCTAAATCCTTTTCAAAGTCGAGAGAAACAAAGCAGATTTTCTCCTAAAAAGAGATATTCCTTATAAGAATATTTTCTATTGAGAAGTTTCAATGTTATACAGAGTGTAAATAAATAAATGCGACAAAATAAAGGAGGTTTGGTTTTTATTTCAAGGTCTCATATATTTTTTTTGGATTTTGCCCTATCGGCAAGCGAATTTACGGGTCGTTTACATGTTTGGGAGTGAATTGCTATGGCGATCTAGAAGTCGGAGAGAGAAAAATGCAAAGTATTTATTACATAACCACTTAATCCGACGCTAGATTTCATGCGCTTATGAAAATACATCTTATTGTATTGAGCGTATAGGCACACGTTTTCGTACAGTTTTCGTACACGGGAAAATCGGCATCCAAGGCCAGAAATGCCGAGCCTTTATAAGGTAAAGCAAAATTACAATACATATGTCATATCATCATCATCATTTTCAGCTAATTCAACCATTTCCAAGTATGGTGTAGCCTCCCCCACATAGTGGACCCTAAAATCTACATAAACATAGCCCCAAACTGCAGCAAATTCACTGCAAATGAATTACGTTACTACAGCAAAATCCGTCTTGTCCAATTTTTATTTTTATTATTGTTATAGGCCTTTTTACGCAGGTATAATATATGATAATATCCATTTTCATCATCATCATCGTTTGCACCTTATTCAACCATTTCCAATTATGGTGTAGCCTCCCTCACATACTCTCTTTGTAGTTGGGCCCATTGTTGTCTATTGTTGGCTATGCGAGTCCAAGTTATCCCTGCTAATTTCCTAATATCATGATCCCATCTCAGGTTCGGTCTTCTTCTAGGTCTCTTAATTCCTCGTGGGTAACATGCTGTAATTTTTGTGCTCCATCTAGGTTCTTCCTGCCAGGTGTCCTGACATTTGAGGAATTGGATCTTTTGTCGTATCCATTCTATTCTTTTACGGTTTTTCTTGGTTATTCCCAGCATATTTCGTTCTATTGAGCGTTGTTCGACCTGCGGTTTCCTTATGATGTCATTTTAATTGTCCAGATTTCGCATGCATAGGTCATGACTGATAGTACACATTGATAGAATGTTTTCTTCTTTAGATAGAGTTCCATTCTAGATTTGAATATGATTGAGTTTTTTTTCCATGAGTTCTCCATGCTAACTTAATTCTTCTGTTGATTTCTGGTAGTAGAGATCCCGAACTGTGTATGAGTTGTCCCAAATATACATTGTGAGTTTTCTACGATGTTCTTTAAGGGCAGGGCTTTGGATTACTTTAGTTTTTACTAAATTCAACCTTTTTTGTCAGCGGTTCTTCTACTCCCATTAACGCTCTAACCTCTTTATTTCTCCTCTTTTCTAGTCTGGATAAAAAGACCATCTATATTACTACTACTACTGCCATTACTCGCTGACGAGTATCTAACGCATCAAAAGATGGTCACGCAAGGCGTTTCCCGTCATGAGCCTTTCTGTGACTGAAAAGCCCGATACATGATGTCATCTCTCTTCCGCACTCCGGACATTCAAAAATCTCATTACTTTGTTGCCTCTTTACTTTTTGGTTATCGTTATTAACTGAATTGCTGCATACTTATCCCCTTTACGTTTTCATGAACAACATCCTTGTATTTTTTGAGTTGTCCACCCGGTTTCCTCTTACCCTCTACAAGTTCGCCGTAAAGAAGAGATTTCGGTAGGCGGTTTTCTTGCATCCCGCATACGTGGCCAGCCCATCTTAAGCGAGATTTAGTAATCATGACTTCAGCGCTCTCGCAGCTTGCTTTTTTAGGGACTGATAAGTTTGAGACATGGTGGTACCATTTGATTCTTAAAAGTTGTCTAAGGTGTCTCTGTTGCAACTTGTTTAATGCGCTCGTGTCCCGGCGGTACGGCACCCAGGTTTCGCTTCCATATAACATGGTGGGGATTATTACTGCTTGATACAATGCAAGTTTCGTTTTTGTGCTCAAATCATGATTGTAGAAAACCCTAGAAATTTCCAGAATGCTCTTGAGGCGCTGCTGATTCTGTGCTGAATTTCAGAGTCGATATTTGCCTTTTCCGAAATCAAACTGCCGAGGTAATTAAATTCCGATACATATTCCAATAGTTCTTCTCCGATTTTTATAGCGCTGTTATGATTTTCCGGGGGAGTGCACATGATTTTTGTTTTATCGATATTCAGTTTAAGGCCCAAAGTCTCGTATGCCCAGGTATATGTGTTCAGCGTTTCCTGTAATTGCTGTAACGTATTTGCAACTAGAGCGCAGTCATCAGCGTATTGGAGTTCTGTGATGAATTTTATACGTGTTTTTGCCCTGAGTTTTTTTATGTTGAACAGACCGCCGCCGCCGTCATACCTGTATCTAACACCCATTCCTCTCTCTTGCAGTTTGCTGTCCCCTATAATAGAGAGCGCTGCCACGAATATGTTGAATAGGAGAGGAGCTAGAACACATCCCTGCCTAACTCCTGTATTTGTCAGGAAGGGATCGCTCAGTGATCCATGATGTGACACTCTCGACTTGTTGTTATGGAGGCTTTTACACACACTAAGAAATTTGTTGGGCACTCCGAACTTTTGCATAATTGCCCAAAGTGCATCTCTGTTTACAGAGTCGAAGGCTTTCGTTAGGTCGATGAATGCAAAATAAAGTTTACTCTGCTGTTCCTTTACTTTTTCCTGTAGTTGGCGGACGGAAAATATGGAATCAACGGTACCGCGGTTGGTGCGAAACCCCTTTTGCGATTCTGGGAGGATTTTTTCTATATGTGGGTGCAGACGGTTTGACATAATTTTTGCGAGAACTTTACCTCCGATAACCAGTAGTGAAATTCCTCGGTAGTTTCCATTATCTGATGCACTTCCTTTGCTCTTAAATATATTTACTATATTCGCGTTGCGAAAGTCCTGAGGTACCTCTCCGCTCTCCCATATGACATCGACGAGAGCCTTAAGATGACCAATAAGTTCTTTGCTTGCACACTTATAGATTTCCGCTGGAATCGCGTCACAGCCAGCCGATTTGTTGTTTTTATGTTGTTTTATGGAGGCCCTTATTTCCTGTTCCGTTATTGGGATATCTAATGCATCAATGCTGTTATACTGAGGTATTGTGTTTAGTGCTTGCATATTGGGGATATTGTCTTGGTTAAGGATATGGCTGTAATGCTCTTTCCAGCGATTTCTGATTTGCTCTTCCTCTTTTAGAAGTTCACCGTTTTGAGCCATGATTAGGCAGTTTACGTTCTTAGTTGGGCCGAATACTTCTTTTACAGCCTCGAAGAATTTACGATAGTCGTGATGCTCTTGAATCTGATTTGCTTTTTGTGACCAAAAGTTATCCTTTAGTTGGCGCAGGTTTCTTCGAAGCGTGTTGTTGGCTGCTTTAAAGTTGTCCACCAGCCTTGGATTGTGTGGATTTGCAGTGACTGCTTGATGTGCTCTATGCTTTTCTTCCAACAAATCCTGTATATATGGTTGATTTTCGTTAAATCAGTCTGGTTGTTTCTTTTTGTTGGATTTTCCCAGTATTTCTTCGCTGGTATTATAAATCGCATCCCTCAATTGTGTCCACCCTTGTTCAGCTTCGGAGATTAAGGTTATCGGTGGAAGTGCTTCTCTGCGTACGTTTCTAACTGCGTACGTTTAATCTGGTCATGTTGTTTTGCTTTTTGCAGTGTGGATGTTTGGGTTTTAATTGAAATTTCATTTTCGAAGCTACAAGTCGGTGGTCAGTACCACATTCGGCATCTATTCTGGCTTTTGTAAGTCTGACATCTTTCAAATGCTTCCTTCGAACGATGACGTGGTCCAATTGATGCCAGTGGCCGGATCTGGGATGTTTCCAGGTACCTTTAAACTTGTCTTTCAGCTTGAACCATGTATTGGTGATGCAAAGGTTGTACTCTATGCATGTTGTTAGCAAGCGTTCACCATTGCTATTTACGTTTCCCATTCCATGTTTTCACAATACGTCTGGCCATATTTCTTGCTGATTGCCGACACGTGCATTAAAGTCACCTAGCAAGATGATTCGCTCCTGCTTTGGAATTCGTTGGAGAGCATTTTGTAGATCTTGGTAAAAGGTAAAATTTATCCTTTTCCTCAACCTTTGCGGCTAGGGTGGGAGCGTAGTCACTAATGATATTGACGTAAGTTTTTGATATGGGGTACCTTAGGGTCATGAGACGTTCTGAGACTCCAATGGGCACTTCTGTTAAACTGGTGGCGATTTCGTTTTTGACAGCAATGCCTACGCCATGAATTCTACTGTGTGTGGCAGGGTGACCCTTCCAAAAGAAGGTGTAATGCTCCTCAGTGAGACTACCTTCATCTGCAAAGCGGGTTTCGCTAAGAGCGGCAACATCTATACTTAGCCGGTGGAGTTCCTGTGAGACCAGAGCAGTTCTTCTTTCTGGTCGATTAGAGTTTGGCCTGTCCAGGAGAGTGCGGACGTTCCGCGCCGCAAACGTGAAACATTGACGCTGCTTAATTCTCCGATGATACGCTCGAGTAGGCACCCCCTCCCGGAGATCCGATCGAGGGGATATTTTACCTCCGGACGATGATTTTGTCCCACTCGAATGTTCTATCTTTGACGAGTGTTAGCTGCGTAAAAGGGTTAAACTGTGACGGTTACGCTGCCGCACAGTTTGGCTGCAACTGTAGCACGGGATGACTATGGCACAGTGAGGACTGAGACGATAATTCCCTTGTGCTACGTTCTCGGCCGGGTAGGAGGAGTCTACTTCTCCTCTTCCCCAGAACGATGGTAGGTCTGAGGGTTTATAGCGTTATACCGCCTATACTCGGACGTCAGAGCCTCGTTTGTGAAAACAGGGTGCACCACGTGAAGGTGAGGTTGACTTTTGGGTAAGCTAGGCTATATGTATCGCTTCAATACCCCTTACACCCCATCTATATACGTCCATCTTAACTGCCTCTATTCTTTTTTTGTTCTTCCGTTATTACTGGATGGTCCAGTCTTAATTATTTGTCATATATTATATTTTGGCGTCTTTCCTATTTCTTTACTCCACAATAAACCGTTTCTAACCATCTTTCTAGCTTTATTGGCTCTACACCTGATTTTTTTTCTTTACTTACTTTACTTTTTGACTATTTTTCCGTACCCGTTTGATCAAATAATATATCACCGATATACAAGGTGAGTCTTAAATAATTACAAATATTTTCAGGGCTGGTAGATCTCGATAAAAGAAACATATTTTCTCTTTGGCGTTTTTCGAGCTTTTTTCAAGTCCAAAATATCCAAGATATTTTATTTTGAAAGTTTAAAAAAAATGATTTTGGTTTAAATTTTGAGAACCACTGGATCTTTTCTGTTTCAAATTTCAATTTTTTTTCACGAAAAAAATCTCATAATCGTATTTCTGCATGGGGTTTCAATCTACTGCCCCTAAAAATATTTGCATTTATTTAGGACTCACGCTGTATAATTATATACTATTCAAATATATAGAATATCCATATGGTCGAAAAAAAAACGGCGTAATGAAGAGCACTGTCATTTTATATGTAAAATTATGACTGTAATTGGTAGTCATTTCCTAGCCAACTGGATGCCGTTTTTTCGATGATACGGAACTTATGACAAAAATCAAAAGTGAAATTCAGTAATTAACAAAGCGCCGGTAAAAATCCGCAATCCGTTTAATAGTTAAAATAAGCAAACTGAAATATTTCACTGCTTTTTTTACATTACCTTAAGGTCTCTAATAATTTCTCTTTCGGCGCTTGTAGTAAAACTGTAGCCTCTTTCGGTTAAAATTTTCATTAAATAGTCCGTTAGGTCTCTGCCGGCTAAATCTAAACGTAATATAGCATGGGGTAATGCATATCCTAAAAAATAAAAACATAGATATAACCTTAGCTTACTTGCTAGTATGTAATTATGTAAACGGTTAAGGTACGTTCAGGCTGGGAGAGTCGAGCGTCGCGTCACGTTTGCGTCGCGTCGAGATGTTCAGGCTAAAAGCGCTAGTTCAGCGTCTTGTGAGACTGTTTTTTACAGTTCTAGTTTGTAAAATGACTTTAAAAAGAGCAGTTTCTTAAATTTTACTATTAGGAACGTCACATTCTGCATTTAAATAATATATAAAAAAAGTTGGAGAACTAACCTAATAAAAATAATAAGACAATTAAATAAATATATTATAATAATTTCAAAAAATTAGAATGGAGATAGATATAATTTCTTTAAATAGCCGATTACGCACATTTATGTTCCTATATTGTACCAATTTTGCGTCCCAAAGTGTATGTCTTGCCTGGACTTCGATGATTTCAAGCCACCGAATGTTACAAATCCCGCCGAAAAACAATTCAGAATGATCTCGACGCCCGACGCTCAGCGGACGCTAGCGCAACGCCAAACCCGACGCTTTCTGCCTGAACGGTCTAATTTAAGTTAAGCGAATTGATTCCATTTCACGCGACGCTTGGCGCTCTTAAGGCTGGTGGCCACTGCGAGCGAAACTAAACTAAGCGAAAATAAGATTTGTAAAAATCAGCTTCCATACTTTTAAATGCATCAGCGGCCACTTGAGCGAAACTAAACGACAATATATGAACGAAGATTCAAATCGTAGTTTAGTTTCGCTCGTTTTAGTTCGTGACAGGTTCCACCGACGCAGTAGAGATACAATACGAAAACGCAGCTAACTTAGCTGACTACTAAGCAAAAATCGTTCCCAGTGGCCAATGAAACTTATTTTCAAAGTTTAGTTACCGTTTCTTTTTATTTTCTTAGCTTAGTTTGTACACCAGTCTGGGTTTCGGACAGGACATAGTTGTGCCACGGCTTTACTTAAGGTAACTGATGACACATATTGTATGCGCTTGACAACGGCGAAATATCAGTCTTAGTATTGTTGGATTATAGCAAAGCGTTTGACTGTCTAAATCCTCAGATTTTGCGGTTAGTGCTACATTATTATGGGTTTTCAGGTAGTGCATTGAATTTATTGAAGAGCTATTTTACTGACAGGCAACAAATAGTCAAACTGGAAAATAAAACATCTAGTCCAATAAAGTTAGTACGTGGAGTTTCTCAGGGTTCAATCCTTGGACCTCTGCTTTTTTGTATATATACCTCTCTAATTAACAACGATGTTAAGTTTTGTAAGATACATACGTACGCTGATGACACTCAGATATATGCCTCTTTTAATAGGAATTCTTTGAATTTTGCCATTAATATGATCAATGAAGATTTACAACATATATATGCACAGTCTCTAAAATATGAATTACAGTTGAATCCAACTAAAACCTAAAACACATGTTGTCATATTTTCAAGTAAAAATTGCTATCATGATGTTTGCCAATTAGCTAAATTTAAGATTAATAATGTCAATCTTGATGTTGTTACCGAAGCCAAAAATCTGGGTATTATAATTGATCACAATTTGAAATACAAGCAACACATATCTGCATCTATTCAAAGGGCATTCTCGGCATTAAGACAGCTTTATCCACTGCGGCATTTTTTAAATAGTAAGGTAAAAGCCAATCTATGCAATACCTTAGTTTTGTCCCATTTCTCTCATTGTTCCGTCGTTTTCTCACAGTCGTTAAGTATGGATGATATGTACAGAGTACAGGAAGTACAAAATTATTGTTTAAGATATATATTTGGTTTGCGAAAATATGATCATGTAGCACATACTTTTAAAACACTACATTGGTTAAATATGAAAAATAGATTTCTTTTGAATAATATTATATTGTATCACAATATATTAATATCGCATAAACCAGTATATCTTTTCAATAAAATTCAGTTGAGACAAGAGGCTCATAGTATTAACATCTGTCATAAAACTAATATATCAGTTCCTTACCACAAAACCTCCCTCTACGAAACATCTTTCAGTTATTCGGTCTCAAAGATCTATGCTCAGGTACCAACTCACTTAAGGAGTTTTACGAGTATTTCGTTCAAGACCAGGGCTCGTTTATGGCTTTTCGAAGAGCAGTGCAAAGATGTATAAATGAGTATTTGTATTGTTATATTATAGTCGTTTAATTATAATTTCGCGATTGTTTGCGTTTTCTTTTTATTTAACATTTATTTATTTTCTTGTAAATTTCTTGTATCATTTTTTTTTCTTTCTGGAGTTAAATGGAAGAGCAGAACATAATAATTTATGTTCTGAATTTCGCTCCATTTTCCACTGAATTTGTATTATTCTGTTATGTTCATATCATTGTGTTTATTATATAATTACTTGCTCTTGTATTTATTTTTGTGGGAAATAAAGACAATTACATACATACATACATACATACATACATACGCTGTCAAATTTCTCAGATATTCATATAAACTCTATTTCTCATTAGAAAATTATTAAATAGCTATAGCTATAGGCACGCCACTGGATGATACAAAAGCCTCCTATTCTAAGTCTACAATACTCTTTTAAAAAAGTTATTTTTTTTAATTCTATTATTGTTACCTATAGACGGTGTTACTGTGTATGGAATTTACTTGCCTTCATAAATAGGTACGGTGTGTGAAACTCCATCTCCAGAATCCATAACAATACCACTGGTCCTACCAGAGGCGTACAAAGAAAGAACAGCCTGTATTGCCACGTACATTGCTGGACAGCCAAAAGTTTCAAACATGATTTGCGTCATTTTCTCTCTGTTTATTTTCGGATTTAGTGGAGCTTCTGTTAGTAAAATAGGGTGTTCTTCTGGACAGATACGTAATTCGTTATAGAAAGTGTGATGCCATATCTGAAATTACCAAGACAGAATTTTTGAAAAATAAATTGTAATAAAAAATAGTTAATAAAAATAGTTATTAATAAATAATGTTAAATAGTCATTTTTATAAGTAAGCACGTGGCTAACGTCATATTCAAGGCCTGAATGTTTTGACAGTTCTACGGGAGTGGTCGAGAATTAGTAGTCGTAAACAAACCTATTGTTTTCATTAGTTTCGCAACAAATCTGTCTTTTTACGCGTTTTTATGCTAATGAAATTATACTAAATAGTTTTGAGTGTACTCTGAGTGAATAGTGAACTATCTAGATCCGATTTATAACATCGTACCCGCGAAAAAAAACATACTTTCGGTAAAAATTATAGTAACACCGGCGATGCGAGCTGTTTGTCCGGGCTAGGAAAAAGTTGGGGAATTTATATAAAAACATAATTAATAGCGTTAGTGTTAGTGTATAATGTTAAACCAACGTAAGTGACGTGTATTTTTAGGTAAAACAGTTTTCGTTTCTTTATTTTTTCTTTGTGAAATAAAAAATGCCGCGACATTGTTCTGTGCCTGTGCCTTGTAGCAGCAATTATAATAAGTACTCAGGTTCTGTCTACATTACTCTAAGTTATTTTTTTAATTCTATTATTGTTACTGTATTCCCCAACAATATTAACTGTAACTAGGTCACGTCCAAAACCTACAGAAGATTCTGTGCCTACAATTTTTCCAAACCAACCCTCTTATATGACTGTGCATGTTCCCAAACATCCCGATGAAAGAAAACAAGATTTGGAAATTCAGGATAAAATAAATATTGAAAATTATTATTATTATTATGAAATGGCAATATATTTTAAAGAAATTAAATGAATTGTACTTTATTTCAGTATTTTATTTTAAAAAAATGATATCTTTATCTTTTTATTTACGATATATGGAGATGGTTACTTGATGAACATGGAACTACAAAGTCTTCTTCTTCTTAAGGTGCCGTGCAGATTCCTGCGTAGGCGTTCATCTTTTTCTTCCTCATCAGATGGTTCTGTTAACTGCCGCGACTTGGAGTGCTTGGAAGTCCTGTATGCCTGTCCAATGACGAATATTTCTCAGCCAGGATAGCTTCCTTCGTCCTATTCCCCTTTTGCCCCCCTTATTCTGTTGTTAATATTGTATTGATCTCGAGTCCCATTTCTGATATTCTTCTATAAGCTGCTACCAGTATACTGCCACCTTGTGCTATGATCACCTGATCGTCCGCGAAGCAAAGTGTGTAGAGCATGTAATAAGCATAAAGAAATATGGGTACTCCCATATTTCTACATTTTTGCTTCCAACCTTTGAGAACTTGTTCGAGATATATCTTGAACAGTGTTGGTGAAATACAGCACCCTTGTTTCAGACCTAGACTTCAATACAGTTTAGACTTCAATACATTTTAGAAAAGTGAAATTTAGTTATAACCAATTCTTATCATTCTTGACTACTTTCACTTAGATTGTATGGTATTCTTTTTTATTCTGTTATGATTTATCACTTATAAAAAGTCAGAATATATTATTAAACGGTTCTTTACAATTTACATTACACAAACTAAAATTTAAAAAAATAATATCACTACATACACTTTCAAGTTATTTTAGAATATGTTTAAAAAATCCGCCATTGTTTTGAGTTGCATCTTTATAAAACTGAATTATTACCTATTCTCACAGAAGGGCCGGTCAACTTAATTGAACTTCTCTCGTACCGCCACTTTGAGTGCCTCTCTTAATTCATAAGTTTTTTTTGTAAACCTCCTGGTTAACTATACCGCATAAAAAAAATATAAAATGAATAGGTCAGGTGATCGAGGAGGCCCATGCAATTGGTCTACCTCTACCTATCCCTTCTGCTTCTTATAGTACCATCTTCTAATAAAGGTTGGCAACAATCGCGGCGAAACACTGTCTGTCCTGTGCATCTCGAAACAGTTCAGTCCAGTCCAGTCTCGTAAGTTTTTCAACCAAGAATGCTTGAGTCCTCTTCTGTCTTCTCTACCTTTCCTTCTATAATCAACTTCAGAAGCTTTGCTCTGCTACTGCGCATGACATGGCTCAAATATGTTTCCTATCCCTGAGTTTGCATAATTATGATATAAATAATTTTTAACATTTTTTTCATTATAGGGGGGGGGGTGTCATAATGATAGTCATGTTGGAACCACTCTATTGATGCGTCAGTATCTACATACTGTTCTTCATTTAAAAAAATCATAATTAGAATTTTTGTTTATTTTAATTTACAAAGTTTGGATGTGACAGCTTTACATTTTTGAGAGCAAAGACGATTAAATTTGTTTCCATGGCTAAGTGAAATTGTTTAAAAATTATAAGAATTGGCTATAACTCGGTAATTTTTCGAAGAAAACATATTATTGCTTATATCGCTGAAAAGCTTAAAAAATGGCGCTTTTTATGAAGTCATGACCAACTATAGTTCCCATTTAAAAAAAAAAATGTTCGTGTCATATGTCAAAAATGACAGGCTTTAGAAAAAAACGCAGAACACAATCTCATTGAGAATGTGATTAACTACAACTTTTATCTGAAAACTTTTTGTCTAGAATAGCTTATAATGGAATTAGGGACAATTTTTAAAATAGCCGAAATTTGCTTTTTTCGAAATTTCTAGTATGCCATGAACTTTTTCAAAAATCTGAAAGACGCATATTTATGACCCCACAAAACTGCAATTATTTCCCTATTTAACCGACTCTATATCTCCAGTAGTTTCTGAGATACCCATAGAAACCAAGAACCAAAAAAAAGATACCCAAGAACAGTAAACTAATAGGATTGCTCATCCTCATAAGACGAACGTTCGCCTCTTCCCGCGCTTCAGCTGACAGTTGTGACGTCATTGTAGTCCTTGTCATGATAGTGTGTATTATTAGTTGCCTATGGTAAACTTATAAAAATAACAGCTGAGAAATATTGAGTTAATTATTTTGTCAATTTTAAATGTGAAAAAGGTGTCTTTAAAGTTTTTAGAGCTATAGAGTGTATAAATACGTTCATTTTGTGTTGTGCATTGTGACAAAGTGCTTACTAAGTGCCTACGATATTGTTTATTAACTATTTTAAAGCAAAATATGGAAGTACTCTAAAAAGAATGCTTGCAAAAGGTGATGCTGGGAACTGTTGTTCTTAAAAATGCATTATCCGAGTATTTAATACGATTTATACAGTTAATTTTCTATACTGCATACATATAAGGTGTTTAAATAAATAAACTAAATAATGAACGTTTTGCATTCGGCAACCAATAATGCACGTGTGTGTATTATTGGTTGCCGGATAAGGACTAATAACCATGACAAGGACTACAATGACGTCACAAAGCGAGTAGTTTTCGCATGCACCTGGCGGACACTTTTGGCTGAATGAGCAGTCCTATTAGGTTAACTGAGCAGTCCTATTAGGTTAACTTGCCTATAGAAGACATCGCAGGAAACTCACCCTGTATATATTATAAGCTATATTCCGAACAAAATTTATCGTGTTCATTAATAAGTTAAATATACATTTATGTCGCACCTACTATTTTTTCCTGTCTTTTCCAACGTCGATGTTTGCATTGTTTATTTATTAGCAGAAAGTTCATCAAACTTTGTTACACATTTCGCAAAAGTATACTTTTTTCCTGCCGATTCTGTGTATTTTTTTTTAAATAAATAACTGCTTTATGCTACTTTTGCTGGAATCGGGTTGCATAAAAATGCTGTTCCGATAAATATTCTTCTCTTCTTGTAAAATGACCTGAAATTGAACTAGGAGATAAAATTAACTCAAGGTTTTCGTGTTTTGTAAACTCAAGCTTTAATTTTAATGAAATTATTTATGTGTTTTATTATGTAATAATTATTTTCTTTATTTGCTATGGACGTAATTGTATTTTTACTCCGTGATTGGAGTACTAAATAATAATAATTTATTACGAATTTGCATTGTGTAAATATAGTGAAATAATATCGACTAAACAAGTTCTAGATTACATAATGTATTCTATAATTATATGTTATTGAAATATTCACACAATATACATATGAACAAATTTACATACCTAGTTTCGTATTACACGTTCAGTTTCTCGAAACATATTTTTTATTGTTTCCGATTTTATTCTAATTTTATTCGAATATAATTGTAGCATTTTTATGTACAGGGTGTCCCATTTTTGTGTCTTTATTTTCTCGTTTATGAGTAGAGATACAAAGATACGGTTTGCATATCAGTTCTACTTAATTCACTGTCTCCCTTCGGAGGTTGGCGATCCATCTGGCTATGATGGTGCGTGAAACTGCACCTGAAGATTTAAATTAGATGTTCTTCCAAACCAACCAAGCCGTGAGTTTTACCTTCTTCCTTCCCACTGATCTCCTGCCCTCAATTTTACCTTCAATGTCCCATGTATCTTCAGTTCATCCCTCATGATGTGACCGACGTACTGTAACTTCCTTTCCTTAACCGTTGATAGGAGCTTTTTATTTTTGCCCATCCGCCTAAGCACCTCCTTATTTGTTACTCTATCCATCTAGGATACTGACGTCGATACAAGAATACATCAAAAGAATCATATCATCTAGCAGCATACGACGATACAAGAGCATATCAAAAGTACGTCTGGCCTGTTTGATCTTTGGGTTGGCCAAAATTTCTGTTTTGTGATTACAAGCGTCGTTAACGAGGGCTCCTAGATATTTTATGGACGATACTGGTTCTATCACCTTGTTGTTAATTCTGAGGAGAGCATTTTCAGGTGTTTTGGAAAATATAACAAGTTTGCAATCACTGTACTACTTCTTTGTGGAACTAAATGGTTTTCCTAGCCTCCTCTTAGTTCCTGAAATTTTTGCCCCTTCGTATCTTGGTTATATTATAACTTATCGAAAAGTTAAATCCCAAGTTTTTTTCGTAGAATCCAGTGACATAACCAATTTTTTTGCTGGGAACTGATATTTTCGAAATATGTACGAACTCATATACTTTTAAATTATAAACCATTTATAAAGACTGTATCTCTCTCAAAAT